AGTCTTGTCATCTAAAAGATGGGCTGGGATAACAGCCTTGATGACCTAAAAAATATGTACAATAGTTAGAATTGTAACCTATGAGAAGCCTGAGAAAATTATAACAAAATCTATAGTTTACCTTCTCAAGAACTTCATTTCTAAGCTGTTCCAAAGTGATGGAAGGTGAGTGCTGTGCCGATAGCACAACAGTGTGTACACGCACAGGCACGCATGCTCCGCCATCGAATTTGTATTCAATGGTAACCTGAATAAGAATTTGCCATTATTCAGCCACTTGGCATTCAAAAATATAAGAAAAACTATGCCCACCTGTGATTTTGAATCAGGACGAGCCCAGGCCAGTTCTCCACTACGGCGCAGAGCATGAAGCTTCGCATTCAGCTGGTGGGCGAGCTGAAGGGTAAGAGGCATAGCCTCCTCTGTCTCATCGGTGGCATAGCCAAACATGATGCCCTAAACAAATCAAATTCTTGCAAATCCATTTACTTGCGCAATTTCTAATTTTTCGAAATCAACTTAACTAAAGAGAAAAGTATGAAATAGAGAAAACGAAACGATACTGACCTGGTCACCAGCTCCAATGTCACTCTCCTCTTTTTGAACATGGACACCTGCGGCAATATCGGGGGATTGCTCTTCAAGTGCGACAAGAACGTTGCATGTTCTGTAGCAGAACCCTAAAATGTAATAAATGTTTATTCAGCTATTTACATTTTATCAGAGCGTGCTTCCTTTTGGATTGCTTCAAAATAATTAATAATGACCACTTAATAGCTGCTGTATCCACATTATATCCATTAAAATGAACGCAAGGAGTACATGTTCAGTTCATGACAGTTCTTCTGCTCAATAAGGACTTAGCGTTTACCTTCTATTCCTTCTACTTACTGATAGGAAAACTTTGATGTAGCGCCCGTTGAATTACAAGCTAGGATGATCAAAGCAGATAAAGCCGATTGTATTACAAACTCAAAAAGACTAAACTGCATCAGTTCTTCCTATATATCTACCTTGAAAGTGATATCATATGGTATCCCAAAATTTGTGATAGTGTCTAGTT